AGTTTGAACTTTCAACACGTGGAGAGAGAAACACTTAAAAACTTTTTAAAAAGATAAGCGAAACCGGTTAAAATAAAATAAAAAGTTTAAAAAAAGAAAAACAATAAATTATTTTCCTAAGAAAAACACTGAAAATCCAATTGTAACTAACAAAGTTTTAATTCTTCACTGTAAAAATTCATAAATTATAAATAAATTACACTGTATTAAATATTGGGTTACTTTTTTTTCCAGTCGTCAGTTTAGTCTATACAATAAGTTTTTGTACAGAATCTTTCTAACCAAAAGTTTTTTTACATATATATATATATATATATATATATATATATATATATATATATATATGAAGAAATATAGTCTTAAGGTGTGCTATATTTATGGGATAAAGTGCTCAATATCAGAGACAGAGCGTGTGTAAATATAAAAGTGAACTTAGAAGTCAACACTTAGAGGCGACAGTCTGTTTCATGCTAGATGTAATCGTCAGGCCACTGATCGCATATAGCATGAAACAGACTGTCGCCTCTAATGTTGACTTCTATGTTCACTTTTATATATATATATATATATATATATATATATATATATATATAAAGTAAAAGATCAAGTGAAGATCAAAATATGGATCGGAATCCTAGAGGATATAAAATAAAGAACAAATAGGCAACGTATATCAATCTAAAATGTTTCACTTTTATTAACATTTAGTCGGAGATTGGGAGAAAACAGACGATAAGACAAAAAACACTGTTATTTTCAGTTTTGTTTAGGTCAGTTAAAGACAAAATGGAAAATTTATTCAAATTTTACCGGTTCAGTTATATCTAAAATTTTACACACCTACGTACAAGTACACAGTTACACACACACACATATATATATATATATATTAAAGACATTTTTATGTTTAACATTCTTTTTATAGATACAAATATTTAAGTAAATGCTCTGTTTATAATAAACAGTATTAAATAACATTTACCGGCCTGAATGTCCGAGAAATTTTCATAGAAAATATTCGTCCTTTGACAGGATTCGAACCTGCATCCTGTCAAAGGACGAATATTTACTAAAATACTTGTATCTATAAAAAGAATGTTAAACATAAAAATGTCTTTAATAAATTGTCGGACTTTGTCCATTTCTTATATATATATATATATATATATAAGGAAAAAAACACTAATATATATATATATATATATATATATATATATATATATATATATATATCAAAGAAATGACAAGAAAAAAAACTTTTATGTCAACGTATTTCGTTGCTGGCATACTAATATTATATTATAATATATATATATATATGTATATATCTGACATGAGATATTGTAATTATTTAAATTATTTACATTGTTCAGAATGTTGTTTTCATCTGTATTGTCATAATCATGAAGTTTCAGTCGTTGTACGCTCCAGCCTCCTTCAGGTGATTTGAATTTCAAACTGAACCCTTTATTTCGTCCCGCCGGGGTAGATTATTTTAGTTCCACGTGCTATGCCTCTTCCGGGTGTCTCAGTTATCTCCCTTTAACTCATCTCTCCAAGTTTTTGTTATTGAATTCACAACTCTTTGGGTCAAGTCACTGGATCCAGTCAACGCTTTTATCCACTGGGCCATAAAGATCAGGACATGTAAATAATGTTCCTCTATAAATATGCGGTTCTCAAGGGACGAAACGCGTTGGCCTAACGGTTTTCCTAATGTCATCTCTTTTATTATATTGTTTCTATGGATACATTTATCTATATGGGAAATTTTGCATATATTTATGTACCGGGTGTAACAGCAAAATTGGCCAATTGTTAGATTAAGATTTGAACCGTTGTATCTTAGAAATGATTAAAGATATCTTACTGGAATTCCCCGAGATTTTTCTAACACTATTGAACTCTACTTTGAGCGATAAGAATGTATAATTACTCTCTAAGCTTAACACAAGAATCGTGATGAAAACGATCATAAATGAAAATGGCATGTTCATCATTAATTAATATATATATATATATATATATATATATATATATATATATATATATATATATATATATATATATTAATCCAGGATCATTTTCCAACTTATTCAAGATGATCTTCGCCCTCTAACCTTCTATCCTTCTGTCCTGGAGTAACAATCTTCGTCACAGGTTTCACAAATGATTTCATTTTCAAGTTTTTTTTTCACTGCTCTTTGGACTGTCATAGCTGAAATTCTTCTCTCACGTGCCAAACCTCTTATGGATTGAGTTGGATCTTTTCTAAAGTTGAAATTATGATCCCTCTTGTTATTGTGGCCATCTCATCCAGTTTTCCTTTCTACTGTACCCTCTTTTTTCAACTTATTCACCGTTCTCTTGATGGTTCTTGAATAGACTTTGAAGATAGAAGCCAGATTATGAATGTTGGTACCATTACTGAAAACATAAATGATCGTTTTCCTCTTACCATTGCTCAGTTGGGAAGACATTGGAGATAACGCAAAATTATTTTAACCTGTTCTCTTTCTAGCTGATTGACCAAATGGTGTGATGATTGCTAAACGTTTTATCTGAAAACATGGAAAAAAGAAACTCAATTAGTTTAGTGCTTTTTAGATATTAAATATTTTATGGGATGGACAATTATGCTGTTACACGAATAGGAAAATTTTTGCTATTAAACTATATATATATATATATATATATATATATATATATATATATATATATATTATATATAGTTTATACGTTATTTAAGTATATGCTGTCTAAAATAAACAGTATTAACTGGACTGAATGTCTGCGAAATATCGTAGAAAATATGTGCTCTTCGACAGGAATCGAACGTGTATCCTACACGAAAGACACATATTTTCTACGATATTTCTCGGTCATTCAGGCCAGTAACCGTAGTTAATACTTTTTATTTTAAACAGCATTTACTTAAATATTTGCATCTATAAAAATAACGCATAAACAGGAAATATATAAAAATAATTGTCAGATTTAGTTCATTTCATTATATATATATATATATTTAAATAGCTGGACACTCATATTCGAGGATATACGTCTACTAGGGCGGCTAGCCAATACCTTTAGCAGACGCCGGCTCTGTGGTTTATACTGAGATTACACACAGGGAAAGAGCGTGTTATCTAGCGTGATCAACAATGCGAACAATCCCTCGTACGCTGGGATCGACCTCTCTGACAAATCGACAATGATGAGATTCGAACACGGGTCTCATGGTCAGATTGCGAACGTTATAACCACTCAGCCACGTTCCTATCCATATCCCTAGCTAGCTAGCTCTCTCTCTCTCTCTCTCTCTCTCTCTCTCTATATATATATATATATATATATATATATATATATATATATATATATATATATATATATATATATATATATATATATGTGTGTGTGTGTTTTCGTTTTTTAATCCTTTCTGTGCTTTATTATAACTTCACGGAATTGGTACCCATAGCTGTGAGACAACCCTGAAGTTACAACTTGAAATCTTAAACCTTGAGTTCTTAATTATATGGATCGATTGCCATCTGTAGAAGGCCGGAGAGCACAGTAGCCAAAAAATCAGACAGAAATTGTCTATTTGTCTTTCTTTTAAAGAAAACAAAGGAAAAGAAATGAAGAGTCTTTTTCCTGTCTATATATTTCTTCTTTTTCATCTTCCATACTTTTTTTCCCCTCCTTCGCTAACAACTTTGCAGTTTTTTTTTTGTTTTTTTTCTCCTCTGTTTACCTCCTCTGACATTTACTCTTTTGGAACAATCTCGAATGCAATTTTCCCCCCTTTTCCTTAATATCTCAACAGTCGCTTTTTCCTCCTTTCATCTGGGATTACCCTGACTTTCCCTCTCGCTTCCGCCATGTTCTTAAAGCAATTTGTTCTCGTCCCCGACACATTTAATGCACAAACTTCTGACACTAACTGCCGCCTGTTGCGACCTTTCAGTTTTTATTTTTTTCAATTTTTTTCTTATTATTGTAAATTCTTATTTCGGTCCGTGACAGCGATATAAATTATCTAGAACTGTCGCTGATTTCCAGCCCTTTCTACAAAGACACCTACATTGAATTCCCAGGCGTGCTAGAATTATAGCATCGGGCGGTGGAAGGGCAGAAGACGGCGTTAAAGTCCGAGTGTTGTCAAAAGCTCAGAGCAAAAACTTTTGGCGCCAATATTTTTAATTCTCAAACGTTACTTTTTGTTTGCTTTTTTGCTACTTTATCCCAGGTATTTTCCTTTCCTTTATTAAAACTGTACCTTATCTACATATTAATGTACCTACGTTTGTGTGTTTTTTAACGGAATAAAATTAGTTTTAAAGAATAATGCAACATATATCAGTGAGGAATGGGCACCTGGGCGTGGTGTAAAGGTTAACAAGCTTGTCTCGCTAAAACAGTTACGAATGAATAATGAGTTCGATCCTCACTGGGTGCCCCATACTTCCGGCTTTGTGCCATATCTAAGCTACGAAGTGGTGTAATAGTTACCAGGCTTGTCTTGCTAGAAGAATTACGTTTGAGTAATGAGTTCGATTCTCACTGGGTACTTTCTACTTTCGGCCTTGTACCACATCTAAGGTACGCTTGAAAAATTACTATATCAGTGAGTAATGTTGTATGCATTAGTTGTCGGAAAGGACTGTGAAAGACGAGGATGCAGAAAAGCAGGATTGGTTTTCCGATTTTTATGGTGACTTTTGCTTTGTAGTTTTTTGTTTTCACGTTTTTCTTTTCGTCTTTACTGAAAACGGTTTTTTTTTTTATTCATCCTTTTTTTCCTTTTTCTTCTATGATTTTTTTTTAACCTTTTAATTAATTTATTTTTTTTCTTGCCCGTTTTTTTAACTTATTCAACCTTCTGTTTATTGTTAGGTTTTATACTTTTGTTCTTTTTTTCTGTGTTATTTCCATTCTTTTGTTGTTTTATTAAACCTGTTTCTTCTTACGACTTTTTTTTTTTTCACTCTCCTGAGAAAATTCTTATCCTTCCAAAACAACAGTACATCCTTACTCGGTTATCTCCCCTCTCTCTCTCTCTCTCTCTCTCTCTCTATCTATCTATCTATCTATCTATCTATCTATCTATCTATCTATCCCTCTCTCTCCCCACCCCCCTCTCTCTCTCTCTCTTCCCACATCCCTTCTTTTCAAATAGTTTCTGTCCTTTAACTCCCTTTACCGCCAAGTCCACCATTCGAACAAAGTCTCTTATCTTTAACAATTTTATCATCCCTAATGAACCACTTACTTCGCAACAGTAGCACGCCATCCGACTTCGGCTGTCTAAACTTTTACAAACACAAACATAAATAAATATAAACCATTATTTTCCTCAGATTTAGCATAAAGATAAATTAAATGATAATTTCTCAATTTCCTATGAAACCGTAAGAGAAGGAACGACAAAATAACTTTACAATAACACGTACTCCAGGAACATGAAAATTAACAGATTTTAAGTTCGGGTAAATAGAAATAAGGTTTGAAATTAATAGGAGTAGATAGGTTTGCCTATCGTCCGGTTCACACTCCTCCCCGGTTTTTTAAACAGAAGTAGAGGTATTTCTTTTGTTTCCTGTTTAGAATTGGGTTTCCGGTTCCTTCTAAAGTCTACTTCTATCGCTTGTCCTTTCCCACGCTAATATAATACCAAACAGTAACCTCTAACTTGTGTGGCTCTTGGGTCTTGTATTGGGTAAATATTAGTATTAAAAAAGGCGATGTGATAAAATATCAATGGAGAGGTTCAGGTTAAAAAAAATCCGGAGTTGTAATTTGCAAAGGTCATCAGTTTCGCAAGACCAAAGTCAATAATTCCACGGATGTAAGAAAAAAAAATCCGTATCTACACCTCACAACGCAAAACTACTTTCTTCCTTTTCCATGTGCCATGTCCCTTCAGGAGGCTGGCGATCATGTCTCAGCAAAATTTCCTGTCACTTGTAGCTCTTAATAAATTTTGTCTTTTACCCACCATCCATTTACTCAAGCTCGCTAGGTAGGTTATGCGTTGGTTTCCTCTGTCCCTCTTGCCTTCAATCTGTCATGTGAGTATCAAATTTTCCAAGCCCTCTACAATTTCATGTCCTTTGTAGCTCTTAATAAAATTTATCTTTTGTTCTGCCATCCATTTACTCAAAGTCGCTAGGTAGGTTATGCGTTGGTTTCCTCTGTCCCTCTTGCCTTCAATCTGTCCTGTGAGTATCAAATTTTCCAAGCCCACTACAATTTCATGTCCTTTGTAGCTCTTAATAAAATTTATCTTTTGTTCTGCCATCCATTTACTCAAGGTCGCTAGGTAGGTTATGCGTTAGTTACCGCTGTCCCTCTTGGATTCAATCTGTCCTGTGAGTATCAAATTTTCCAAGCCCTCTACAATTTCATGTCCTTTGTAGCTCTTAATAAAATTTATCTTTTGTTCCACCATCCATTTACTCATGCTCGCTAGGTAGGTTATGCGTTGGTTTCCACTGTCCCTCTTGCCTTCAATCTGTCCTGTGAGTATCAAATTTTCCAAGCCCTCTACAATTTCATGTCCTTTGTAGTTCTTAAAATTTATCTTTTGTTCCCCCATCCATTTACTCAGGCTCGCTAGGTAGGTTATGTGTTGGTTTCCTCTGTCCCTCTTGCCTCCAATCTGTCCTGTGAGTATCAAATTTTCCAAGCTCTCTCCAATTTCATGTCATTTGTAGCTCTTAATAAAATTTATCTTTTGTTCTGCCATCCATTTACTCAAAGTCGCTAGGTAGGTTATGCGTTAGTTACCGCTGTCCCTCTTGGATTCAATCTGTCCTGTGAGTATCAAATTTTCCAAGCCCTCTACAATTTCATGTCCTTTGTAGCGCTTAATAAAATTTATCTTTTGTTCCACCATCCATTTACTCAAGCTCGCTAGGTAGGTTATGCGTTGGTTTCCACTGTCCCTCTTGCCTTCAATCTGTCCTGTGAGTATCAAATTTTCCAAGAGCTCTTTCCTTATTATGCGTCGCAGAAATTCCAACACTGTGTTCCTGATGTTAAATATGTGTCTTCTGTTTCCATTTTCTCGAGAACTTCCTCGTTGCTCACATGTTCGGTCCATGGTATTTTCAACATCTTTCTGTAGGCCCACATCTCTGTTCCTTCAAGTTTCCTCTTCATCTGTGAGGACTTTATCCAGAATTCACTGCCCTTTTAGGATGACTGATATTACATAACAGTTTAGCACTCTTCTTTGATTCTAACGATATTTTTGCTTCCTAATGCATTATCCGTCGTCTGTTAAAACGTTTTCCAGATATTTACTTTCTTCACTCACGAATAACCAAGAAACCTGTTACCGTCTAATGTAGCGTTCTTTTGTTTGGATTCTTCGACTGTGATTGGTCGAAACTACTGAGCAAATGCAAAAATTACCATATTTCGAGACCTTCTCGTATCCTATCGGCACTCCCATATTTAAAAAAAAATTTAAAAAAAACAACCGAAAAATAAAGTTTGCTCAATTTTCAAATAGCGGCCATTTATTGGATGTGTGTGAAAAGAGACCAAAAATTGTAACCCAGTAACAAACATGGCAATAAAAGTGGACAGTAGCAACACACAAGCACAAAAAAGTCTACAACATCGAATGAAGAAAATTAATACGTTTAAAATATGTTGAAAATTTTCAGCGTGCATTTTACACAGGACTCAATGATAAAAGCATCCCCCTTTGTCCTCGGACTAAAACTGCACTTAACGGACAGCTTTTAAGAGACGGATATTAATAAGCCAAAGAAATAAATGCGTCATCGTTCAGGCATAAAATGACAATCAAATATGTTGCAAAAACGTACTTCTATGCATCTTTTAGTATAAATATTGTGCCGAGAACACAATTATCGAAAATTATATACACGAATGTTTATTGGCAAAACACTTCAGCGATACATATATATATATATATATATATAAATTTTATATATATAAATATATATATATATATATATATATATATATATTTATATATATATATATGTACCTAAATTATATATATATATATGCATCTAAATTATATATATATATATATATATATACCTAAATTATATATATATACCTAAATTATATATATATATATATATATATATATATATATATACCTAAATTATATATATATGTACCTAAATTGTGTATATATATATATATATATATACCTAAATATATATATATGTACCTATATATATATATGTACCTAAATTATATATATATATATATATATAAATATATATATGTACCTAAATTATATATATATATATATATATATATATATACCTAAATATATATATATATATATGTATATATATATATATATATATACCTTAATATATATATATATATATATATATATATATATATATATATATATATATATATATATATATATATATGTATTATATATATATATATATATATGTACCTAAATTATATATATATATATATATATATATATATATATATATATATATATGTACCTAAATTATATATATATATATATATATACCTAAATATATATATATATATATATGTACCTAAATTATATATATATATATATATATATATATACCTAAATTATATATATATATATATATATATATATATATATACCTAAATTATATATATATATATATATATATGTACCTAAATTATATATATATATATATATATATATATATATATATATATATATATATATATATATATATAAATATATATATATATATATATATATATATATATATATATATATATATATATATATACATAATTTAGATAATTTGGGGCATAAATTTTTCGATACCTAAGGTTTAAAAATTAAATTTTAAAATTAAAAATCTTTCTTGAAGATTTCATTTTAGCTTTAATTGAAAGCTTAATAATTAAATTTATTATTTCCATTAAGTAAAATATTCAGGTGTATTTTAGATAGAAATTATATAGATTGGAATGTCAAATTTAATTTCGATTTCTTAAAATTTTCTTTTCCTTAAATTTAAGAAATTTGTAAACAATAGAAATTTTTTTCTCTTTTAAACATCTTAAAAAAAATAATAAATATATATTTCTGACACTTTATTTTTGTAAAATTAGAAAATTTAAAGTTAAATTAATCTGATTTGAAATAAATATTACTTATTTATAGCATAAAAAAATAATATACAACCAATTATTAATCATTGGTCCTGTTCTTCTGATCCAATGTTTGATGGACAGGTGATTGACGAAGCGATGACAGCTACTAAGGATGAGAAGAAAATTCTCAGAAATCTAAGTGAATGCATTTTGGGGGGTTTTAACTACCTAGTAATTTTTACAATTGAGCCTATTTTCCGCAGTTATTTCATATTTTATTGACTTTTCAAAGTTGCAAAAAATAAAAAAAAAAGTAAAATACAATAAAATTTTCTTCAATTAATTTTTATAATTTAATAACAAATGAAATACCATGATTATTCAATTGAAGTATGGACCACACTAATGTAAATACATAAAATAAAATATTTAGCGAAATAGTAATTGAAAAAAGTAAAACTTAGTTTAAGCTTTAAACTTTTAAAGCAGGATAGAAATTTTGAAAACCTGGTGAAACGTAAATGAAGCGACTTAATAAATGGACAAAACTTTTAGATCATAATAATGGCAATTTCAGTCTACCATACATGAAAATAAGGAACGTATTAAATAAAAAAATTCAAAATAAAATATTATTTTAAAAACAGAATAGCTCAACTAAGTTTATTGATCTTTTCAATTTTGGATTTGTAAATTTTGAAATAAATATTACTTACTTATAGCATACTTATTACTTACTTACTTATTACTTACTTATAGCATACTTATTACTTACTTACTTATTACTTACTTATAGCATACTTATTACTTACTTACTTATTACTTACTTATAGCATAAATAAATTGTAAATTTCGTTTTCACTTCCAGGAAATAGCCCAATACAGAATTGTACACAATTTTAAACTATTATAAATTATTATGATTAAAATTTTTAAAAAAATGAAGAAATTCTTGTAAAAATTCATTATTCATCAAAAATGTTATTTCTTCAGACAATAATGTCCTTAATATAACTTATTTACAAAAGTAATTAAAAGCATTTCTAATTAAATAATGTCCTAGTTTTATTGGATTCATTAAATTCAGAGCAGATTTTCAGTTAGAATAGCTCAAATTTGAAAAAAAAGTAGGTGATTTACAATCTCCAAGGACTCCTACTTTTAACAAAAAAAATTCAGGAAATAGAAAGGTTTTGTGCGAAATTTCATGAAATTAAGTAAATGGTGGGGGATAACATATTTTAAATGTAGCAAAATTTTCTAAAAAAAAACTTCAAAAATTTCATTCATTTATGTATAAGTCTTGAAATTTTCATTAAAATCGGACAATTATTTGATTTTTACAAGAATTTTCAACGGGAAAAAAGCGTAAAAACGTCAATGTTATTAGTAAGCCACCGCGATGACGTAAACAAAAGAAGAGTTTAACCAAAATTTTGAACGTGTTAGAAAGGATTCAAAAATTTCAAAAAATAATTAAAAAATACTTAAGTGGAAAATCTTAATAATAACATAAACATTTTGATGATAAAACTTTTTTTTATTAAGTCTGTAGCCTTTTTCATTGCGCTATACTTTTTCCCGCTAAAACTGGAGGTACCTAAATGAAAATAAGAAAAAGAAAAGTTAAAAAATTTTAGCACTTAATAGCGAGAATGTGAATATTGGGAAATTAAGTTAAATATTAGCTGGTCAATTTTTCAAGAACATATTTAACGAACGTTAATACACACACACGGACACACACACACACACACACACACACACGTATATATTCAAATATATATTGTTAAATATGAAAGACAACGAGTGTCTATTATGTTTGATCATGAGCCGTTTTAAGCTTCATATAGTGGCTTTAGTTTCAAGGGAAGACAAAAACTGTACAATATTTGGATATTTTTATTATGCTGTTCCTCGAGCTAGGCTGTCGGCTCACATGAGCCATCATCAGAGTGGTCATATAACCATAATTATATAACATCATTATATTACCACTCCGTTGATGGTTCATGCGAGCCGACAGCTTCGCTCTACAAAAAGCATAATAAAAAATATACAAATGTTGGACAGTTTTTGTTTTTATTTCATCCCGAAACTAAAGCCACTATACGAAGATTAGGATGGTTCATGATCATACATAATTGTTATGGGACTTTACCGATAATAACATAATCGACTATTCCATACGTAATAAATACTGGGCCTCAAGAGGAAGCAGGGAGTGCAGTCTGAAGTCTTGATTTCAGTCTGAAGTCGGACGACCGGCTGATCGGTTGAACTCCCTGCCTTCGGGCGGGGAGGAACCCGAACGAGGCTACGCCGAAGGGCGGAGTCTCTTTCGGGGAGGTAAACCGACCATGAACCTGTTTATACGGGTTCAAAGGGCATATTTTTGGCCAAGCCCACGGGCTCGTGGGTGTGACTAAATACTGTTCAGTCTGGAGTGAGGTCTGTCAGAAGTCTGTCAAAAGTTTGTCAGTCAGTCAGAGCGAACGAGTCAGTCAGTCGAGTCAGAGGCAGTCCGAAACAGAGTCGCGTTCAGACAATTACTACTAAACATGATTGTTCGTACTAACACTTTCTACTTCTCTATATATATTCCTGTTTGTAATATATCTGTGTTATTCCATATCCATATTCGAGTTCTTCTTTATTGGTTCTACCTTGGACTACCACCGTGGTACAAGGAACCGGACCATAACAATGATAGACATTCGTTGTCTGTTATATTTAACAATATATGTTTGAATAATTATCTGCTGCCCAATACACAATATATATATATATATATATATATATATATATATATATATATATTGTGTGTGCGTGTGTGTGTATGTGTGCGTATGTTTGTAAGAATTCGCATGTAAATAAAATATATCTTTTGTGAAGACAATATAAATAAAAGACTAAAGGACAATTTTTCTTTCTACCACCGCGTCTCGTCCTCTGAGAGACATTAACAAGGTAAATGTGAAGATTTTACTTATTAGCCTGTATTTATGAGGGAAGAGTCTGAGTCATGCCTTTCCAGTGGTATTTGTGCGAAAGCTTGAATTTGTACTTGTCACGCATTGATAACTGCTACGCTACAAACACATTCAAATCTTGTAATAAAATAACTCTAAATCATGTAATTTGAGCACTAATTTAATTATCCATAAATTTCCGTGCTTGCTACTCTTCAACATCCTGGGGAAAAGTATTTTTCATTTCACTTCCAAGCAAGGCGATAATGCTACTAAGACATCAGAGGTTCTTGAGAGTGAAAGAGAATGAGAAAAGGCGATAAATGAGGAAGATTCTGGAAGACGGAAGATGGCGATTGACGTTGCATTTAAATTTTTAAAGATCGTAGATGGAAGATAAAGAAAGAAACCAGAAAAGAGTTTCACAGGCGAGAAGTGTGAGTAAAGAAACTATTAGAATAGAACTTACGGTGGTATCTAACAATTTCAACAGTAAAACGGCGAGGCCTTGTTGCCAGTCTAGTTGTACGCTTAAATTCATGCGGTCGAAGGAAGAAAGCTCATTAGAACAATTCGCATAAAAATATTTATGAGAAAGAGAGGCACGTCACGGAGGTGAGAAAGTGATTGAAGTCGAGATGCCAGGTCAGGACCGACAACATTGCAGGTCCTCCTTTGGCTTTTTTCGAGAATCTCAAGATATATAACAGGAGAACCAAACCAGATATGGCCGCCATATTCAATACACGGACCATTTATAAATGCACAAGATGGATTCTGGCAAGCAGCAGACCTAACAATGGATTCAATATAATCACTCCACTTCAAGTCAGTGGAAAACGTGAAATCAACTAATCGCAATGTAGGTTAGCATCAGCCATGTTGATAGAGAACCATTTTTGCTCTCTATGTCGGAACAAAATAAATGGCTTCTTTTTTGCATTAGCGCGACTGGTTTTTTTTCTTTCCATTATTCACTTCTGTTTAGGTTTAAATATGTATTTTACATTATTTACATTATTCGGACTACTGTCCTCATCTTTGTCGCCATATTTGTTACAACGTTTCGGCCGTTGTACGCTCCGGCCTTCTTCAGGTGGTTGGAATGTCGAACTGAACCCTGGCACAGTGGATAAAGGCATTGGTTAGATCCAGTGACAGGACCCAAAGAGTGTGTGTTCAATACCCGGTTAAGGCAGTGGAGAACTTTCAGAGGGAAATTAACAGGAGATAACTGACATCCATTAAACATGGCACGTGGAACTAGAACAGTCTACCCCAGTGAGCGGAATAAAGGGTTCAGTTCGACATTCTGAAGAAGGACAGAGTGTACAACGGCCGAAACGTTGTAATAAATATGGCGACAAAGATGAGGACAATAGTCTGAATAATGTAAATAATGTACATAATACCTCATCTCAGAAATATAGACATATGTATTTTATTTTAAAGTCATTTTATACACATAAAATATTATTTTATATACAGAACAATGTTTTTGTAAGTTCAAACAATGTTTCAAGTAATACAAATCTGACGGATTAAAAAAAATGATTAACTCTTCAGAAAGAAAATTATTAATCATTTTATGCATACGTCTGGGATACTTCGACGTGGTGTAATGGTTAGCAAGATTGTCTCGCCGGATCAATTACGACTGAGTAGTGAGTTCGATCCTCACTGGGTGTTCTATATTATCGGCCTTGTGCCACATCTAAGCTACGCTTAAAAATCACCATTTCATGTGTATATCATTTTAAATTTCTTTTTCTACTCTTTCGGGTGTTGCTTAATTTTTATTATTTTGTTGCTGTTTTATTGAGTATGGAAACAAAGATGAATAAAAACGATTTTCGTGTCATTGTGCTCAATAAATTCAAATTCATCCTTCTTGTGAGCTGCAGAATGCTTCAGAACAGTCCATTTCGCTTCCAAATATCAGGATCGCCAAGGTTAACCTGGTTATGGTCACAATCCGTCATCAGAATGGGAATAATTAAGGTCAGTCACTTAGGCATTCAAAGAAATGTAGCCTGTGCAACAGTCTGATGGCACAAAATGAAAAAACGATTCACGAGTGGATACCCCATGATTTAAAATAGGATTAACATTTACCATTATTTTCCGGTCCATTTATGATACTATTGACACTCACGTAGAAAAAGGGCGGTTTTATCTGGACTTCAAGTGTTTCTGTTTTATGTCCAGCTGATTGTTCCTTTTGAAGTTTCGTCCTCTAAGCGGTATCCACTTTGACCAAAGGGTAATGCGGAAGTAAAAGAGTTGATGAGTGGGTTTTGGAGATCAAGTGTCAACGAAACCGGAAATAAGATATATCTATGTGCTGTCTATATCTCTGAGATGAGGCATTATGATTACTTACATTATTTACATTATTCCGAATAAAACCGAGACATACGGAAGAGGTATGGCACGTGGAAGTAGTAATGACAAGACTCCTCGCTGGTGGGGTGGGGGATATTTTTCCGGGCAAATCGACTTCTTAATTTCAGCAAGCTATGTGACACATAAACACACAGAACACACGCAAAAATTAATTAGATGATTTTGCTCCCTTTTCTCGGCTATTTATAACTGTATACAGACAAGTATAGTTTTCTCTCTCCTTGCATTATTTTTTCTACTTGCCTTAAATGCCTTCTTATCAGCAAACCATAGAAAAAAAAACAGCAATTTTGGCTTCAAAAACAGTCTTTCAAATGAACACACACACAGACACACACAGACACACACAGACATATATAAAACATTTTTATGTTTATACATTCTTTTTATAGATACAAATATTTAAGTAAATGCTCTGTTTATAATAAACAGTATTAAACAACATTTACTGGCCTGAATGTCCGAGAAATTTTCACAGAAAATATTCGTTCTCCGACAGGATTCAAACCTGTATCCTATACGGAACCGTCATATAGCCATAATGTCTTACAATGATTGCCGGACTTTGTCCATTTCATAATGTGTGACGTCATTTGTTTACATTTGATACGCCATGAGCAGATATGAATGTATGGGAGAGATTCATGGAAGATTGAAGTTTAAATACAGCAAATTCGACCTTGGTAACCAAACGATCCTCTGATCCGAATCGGTTAAAAGGCACATCAGGTGGCCGAATCGGTTAAAAGGTACATGACGGTTCCGGATAGGATACAGATTCGAATCCTGTCGGAGGACGAATAAGTAACTCCATTTCGCCACAGTCTGAATTAAATATTAACCCTGGCCTGCCATCTCGACACAATCACTTTCCCATCGCCTTGGCATGGATTCCCTCTGTCTTTTCTATAAATATTTTCATGTCAATTGTTCTAATGCATTTAAGTGTACTACTAGATTGGCTTCTAGATCTCATCCTTTTACTGTTAAGATAGCTAGATGTAGCCGTAAGTTCTATTCTAATAGTTTCTTTTCTCGCACTTCTCGTCTGTGGAGAAGTTCTTTGCTTCCCTGTCACTTACGATCTTGAAAAATTTAAATGCAACATCAATCGCCATTTTTTGTCTTCCTGAATTCTGTTCTTTTATTGTCCTTTGTTCTAAATAACCTTTTCTAATTTGCTTTTATTCTCTGTATCCCCTTGCGTTTTAGTGGCATTATCGCCTTGCTTGGGGTGAAATTGTGTTAAACTGTATTTGTAATGGATAACCATATTTGATAGGCGTCCCCCTTGGAAAACCGTCGTTAGATCTGACACGATTTCAGACCGTCGTCTCAGTCACGAAGTGATATTTAGCTACCCCCCTACGAGGGTTACATATGGCACAAGGCAGGGTTTAACGTGGGATTTTCGATCCCGTAGGCTCAGCCAAAAATATTCCCTCTTTGAACCCGCATAAGCGGGTTCAGGGGCAGTCAAACAGCCCGAACGAGAGACTGCCCTTCGGCGGAGCCTCGTCCGGGTTCCTCTCCGCCCGAGAGCAGAGAATTAGACTGTTACTTAGCAAATATTTTTGCCAAGTTAAAAGTCTCAGTCACGAAGTGCGACGTCGTCGATCAAGGAAAGCCGAATAGAGCCTTATAAGCACAAATCTTTCTCAGACTCTCGAAACATTCATATTTTCTCAGTTTCTTATCCTAACGTAAACAAAGCAATTTCTAAAGAAGTGATGGATTTTTATTTATTAATCCGATAGATTTTATTAGTTAAATGGTTCTCGAATTTTAAGGCCGGTAGAGAAAAATAAATAAATATAGTGTTTACTAAATAAACAAAGCGTCTACTCAAATATGGGTATCTACTAAAAAATAATGTTTCAGTAATAAAATATGCTCGGTTAATAAACAGAAATTTTCTTCACTTGTTTAGAAACATATATAAATTTTAACAAGCTGGAGATTGCTTTCAAGCATGAAACAGACTGTCGCCGCTCGGTGTTGACCTGAGTGCCTACGATTATTTTTACATATGCACTATCCTTGATACACTA